AACTGTCCTTGTCTGTTCTCCGGCTATTGTTAGATCTAAATATTGCCCTTGGGATGCCTCTCATGCCTTACAGTGGCCTTTCTACCAAAATAACCCTTTGTGAGCAACTACATAATACAAATAATTCAAAACCAAATCATTCTTGGAATGAAGAGAAATGAGTTTAGCTTAAGTTCTTTAAAGTAGTAAATAATGCCTTATTTTACAGGCCAATGAATGACTGATCCCTACACATGGAGGCTTAATATTATATTCCTTTTAAATATAAAAAAAAAAAAAAAAAAAACATGCATTAAACACACAAAGATGCATTAAATGTGACATTAAAGACTTTATAATGTTACAAAATGGTTCCAAATAAATGCTATACTTTTTACTTACTTTCCATTCATCAAAGAATACTGGGAGAAATAAATAATAATAAAAAAAAAACATTAAGCAGCACAAATGTTTTCAACAGTAATGTTTCTTGAGCAGCAAATCAGCATATTAGAATGATTTCTGAAGGATCATGTGACACTGAAGACTGGAGTTATGATGCTGACATTTTAGCTTTGCCATCTCTGCAATAAATACAAAATTTAAATATATAAAAATAGAAAAAAGTTATTGTAAATTATATATCACAATATTCGTTTTTTACTGTATTTTTGATAAAATAAAATAAACGCAGCCTTGGTGAGAATATAAAAAACTTTTAAAAAGTTTTACTGCCCCCAAACCTTTAGACTGGTGTGTGTACGTGTGTGTGTATAGATAGATATCTTTATTGTATATATGTGGAATAGGTTTTTAAAGGTGCACAAAGTCATTTTTATGTATAGCTGGTTGATACTGAACAGTGGTCTGTATATTAATACTAAACTGAGAGGAAACCACCTGTATGCAAAATAATATTTTAGTAGGCAACTGATGATTTTTTTTTTTAAGTGAACTACTTTGTGCACCTTTAAAGGTATGAATATAATTTGCAACATATAAACAATGTTGTAAGACATACCACTTTTATTAAATGCACAGTATTACAAGGAACATTTCCACTGACTGCAGAGAAGCTTCTCACAGGATGCACAAGCATAGAGTACTGACACCTAAAGCCATGAGAGATTGAGTCTTCCGGGAACACACACACTCACTCACTCACAACCAGTGATCCATCTAAACCAATAAAAGAAAAGTGGAACATAAATGTCTAAGTACAGTTGCCTAGACAAGTGCATTTCACAAAGAAATGTCCAGATTATATTCCATCCCAAAATCAGAAGGGAAAAAAAAGCGTAATTGTTCTAAAAAGAGTATTTTCTTTACATGTATTCTTTTGATTTTGGGGTGACCAGGACATTTCTCGACAGTTTTAGTGGGATTCAACCAACTGAGCACAAAAAAACCTTGGGTTACAAGATAAATAATGCATAAACAGTGTTCCAGTGCTCAATCACAGTTCTTCTTTCATATACAATGTTAAGAGCTTTTCAGAAATGAAACGAGGATGGGGGGTTCTCTTGGCTCTTTCCCTCTGGATGTGAATCAACCCTCAGTTAAACAAACAAAAAAAGGGCGCAGTAAGTGTTGGTAACGTCAAATCGTTTACTACACAGGGGAAAAGGCTACTTGATTAATTACAGATATAAAAAAAATCATCATATTTTCATTATGAACAACCACAGGAAAAAGAAATACACTGTTACGAAAAATAAACTGTACACTCACATATTGCCAGAGGCCCATTAGATGTTTTTTCTTCTCTTTATAATGTCACACATTTGACGTGATGCCTGTTTAAAACAGAATATATAGAGAGAACGTACTATTTATATAGACATCTATTAGAACTGTACAGAATGGATTATAAAGTACAGGCTGGCTATTAGAACAGACAGAAATCTGTATAGCAAAAAAATGGAGAAAATGCCATGTTTGTTCAATAAAGTCTTCATGTAAAGTCAGTCTGCCACAACAGAAGAAACATTGTTTAGCGTAACTGACCGAATACATTTCTCCAATATCGGTATCTCCAATACCTCTTTCAGTGCATTTTTTTTTTTTTTTTTTTTTTTGCAGTGCTTACAATTGTAGGGTGAAAACTACAAAAATATGAGCAGTACATCTATAAAGAAAGTGCAAAGCTCTAAGAGGTCATAAGTCACTGCTCAAAAGATCATGACCGTAACGACCGACACTCGACTCGATTGGACACTGTTCGACGACTCGTGATGTCGGCTGTTAAAAGTAGGTCCTGCCAATAAACTGTTTGGAAAGAATTTGACATCAGTGTACAAACAATGATTGATCCTGCTCATGTATATTTACAGTCTAATTGCATATATACAGACGCTTTCAAAGCAACACATCTCCAGTTCTTCACACCTTGAAGAATCAGTCAGTCGGTGCAAAATCTGTTGATGGGGACCACGAGGAGCCCCTTTAATCTGAATTGGGGAAAAAAAGAAAAACATTTACTCCTGCAGAGGAGGACAAGTCGAGGACTGTAGCCCTGGAATTAGTCAACAGTAATAATAGTCAGGTTAAAGAACTAGACGAGATTTCATTTTGGCCGGCCTGGTTTTACAGATACAACTGAATCGAATGTATACTTTGTGTAATATTAAAGTAAGCCCTAAGTATGAACAACAACAATAGTGAGGCTTGCTTAAGCAAACTCCACTTTGGAAATACTTAGTGCATTCAGAAAGTATTTAGATTCCTTCATTTTTTTATGTTTCACCCTTAAAGTGCAGTCACAGTAGTGTAATCTTGTGGACAAAAAAAATAAAAAATTCTATTTTCAATAGTGTAATGATGTATAAAGCACAGCTCACACAGTAGAGCTCACACAATTCCTATTGAAGTGACTGGATTTCTCCTGTGAAAATTCACAGTGCTAAATGTTTACCCTAAAAGTGAACATTTAAATAAATGAACCTAAATGCTTAAGTGTTTTCACCTCAATCTACACTCCATACCACATAACCGAACTGTCACATGGGCTGTGCGAAGTGTGCGATTGCACGGGGCTTTTATAATGGCATCTAGAATGGAGAAAGTGAAGACCAATTGATCAACCTAATTTATATTCAAAATTGTAAGCAAGCACGACTGTTGAATATAGACTACTGCCATCTGCTGGAATAGACAGTTATTTCCTCTCTTGCAAGAAACAGAACATGAGTGTTTGGCTGATGCGAGGTGACAAAACATTTAGCTTTCGTCGCCGCTAATTCTTTGATGCCAGTTTGGTGTGTTGTGGGCTTAACTCTTACTGGGCCTCTAAAATGTATTACAAATCAAAAACTGAAATATCACATTGACATAAGTATTCAGACTCTTTGCCGAGACACTTGAAATTTAGCTCAGAATCCCATTTCTCTGGATCATCTGAGATATATCTACTCTTCGACTGAAGTCCACCTGTGCCGAATTTAATTGATTGGACGTGATTTGGAAATGCACACACCTGTCTATTTAAGGTCTAACTAACAGATGAAAAACTGGCCTCAGTGCAAGACTGATGAAAGCATGCTTGGAATTTGCACAAAACGGCAGCTAAATGGCTCTCAGACTGAGAAACAAGATTCTCTGGTCGGATGAACCTCGATTCTGAGCATCACATGTGGAGGAAACCAGGCACCTCTTGTCACCTGTGCAATACCATCCCAACAATGAAGCAGTGGGGGTGTTTTTCAGACGCAGGGACTGAGAAACTGGTTACTATAGAAGGAAAGCTGCAGAGCTCTCAAGACTTTAGACTGGTCCAAAGGTACACCTCCAAACTAAGCACACAGCCAAGACAATGCAAGTGTGGCTTAAGGACAACTCTATGAATGTTCTCGAGTGATGCAACCAGATGAATCAAACGTCTCCGGAGAGACCTGACAATCTCTGTCCACCAACAGTCCCCATCCAACCTGACATGGCTTGAAAGAATTTGCAGAAAATAAGGCAGAAAATCCTTAAATCCAGGTGCGCAAAGCTTGTCACATCACATCCAAAAATACTCTAGGATGTAATCGCTACCGAAAGTGATTTAGCCGGGTACTGAGTTGAGGGTCTGAATACGTAAATCATTGTGATATTTCAGTTTTTCCTTTTAAATACATTTGCAAAGTTTTCACACATTTGTTATTTTCTTTGGAGTGTTGACTGATGTAAAAAAAAAAAAATCACAGGGCTACAACATAACGAACTGTGAGAAAAAAAAGACAGTTTCTAAATACTTTCCAAAGGCAATGTATAATGTCCTCTGATAATGACAATTTAAGTTTCCATTTAGTCCCTCCTCTGGTAACTTGTTTGGTGGGGTTGGAACACAAGTTGAATCGGGACAGTCCCTTCATTGGGTCTTCCTGTCGTGACCTCAGGGACAGTACGACTTGTGTCGTTCTCACATGAACATTCACTTCACAGTGCCCACCAAGCCCATCGCTTTGAAACGGACCACAATACATCGAAAACAAATCGATCATAGATTATCACATACACATATTATTTAGCAGTTATTTCGCAATTGTTACATAAACGTAATAATGAATAATCAGAGAGCAAATCAAATCCAGCTGTTCAGGCAGGTTGGTTGCATTATGGACAACATCTATGGTTTGTTCTCCCCAGGAACAGTTAAGATAAAAATCTTCAGTCTTTGCAAAGGCAAGGTCCATCAAATTGCAACATGACAATGACAAGGGCGCCTACACACTAGTTTATGCCTTGTCGGAGAACGCTGGGAATTCGTCGATTTGATCAGGGAGGCGGGTCCACTTGTGCTTTCAGAAATCCAATTGGCTGTGTTTCCAGCTTGATTTCAAACTGCCCCAGCTCTATCCATCCATCCATTCTCCAAAACCTATGTATATTGGGCTGAAGGCAGGGAAATACCACGGACGGATGGTCAGTCTATCAGATCAATTTCTAGTGTGTAAGCACCCTGAGGTAAAAAAAAAGAAAAAAAGATGTTACCATTGATTGACACAAGAACAGCATCTCTCCCATTGTTCTTCGAACCACAGTTGGAGAGACAAGTGCCCTTTGAATCAGAACTTCAGCGCATATGGCCAGGGAGCCAAACAAAGACGTCAGTGCCACTGCTGGTGACTTTGCCTCTGTGCTCACTCCAAACACTATGTCCAACCTCAAGCCTCTTCCGAAGAAAAAAAATGATAATTGGAGGAGTCTTTGTCGCTGTGCTTCTATTACAAAGTTCGCACTGAGTTAGATGGTGCACTGAGACGTCCAAAAACGCCTTTCATCAACCTCAGCGTTGGACATCAAAACTTGGCACAGAATAGTCTAAAATGATATCAGATGTGTTTAAAAAAATTCCAAATGAAACATGAATGGCAGTTCCATGATTGTTACTCAATAATTTGCGAATAGTATTGCGATCTGCCAGAATGTCGCCAGGGTGTCATCAGCGGTTGTGCTAATGGCTGGGTCCTTATCAAGTCCAAATTTTGTCCATCTCGATAAACAAATGGTGACAGAAAAACAAGTGTAAACTTTCCCAAACCGAGTTACCTTTTTCAAAAAGGAACTAAAACAAAAGGTCTGCATTGTCTCTGATGCATATTTACAACAATCAGATGTTTCCGTCTGTAGACCATTTGGGGTTTTTAGAAAACACAATGATGCAATACAGATATGGACATGTCCAAACATTGGAAAAACTCAAAGCAATGCACACAGTCAACTTTAAGGCCTTTAGTCTATGTGGTGAGAAGGCTGAAGCACAAGCCATTTTTATGAACACACACACACACACACACACACACACACACACTCTCTATATGAATCTACATTCAATCATTCAAATTATATTCCATCCCTTACTCCTTTTATACCATGCATTCACACACTCTTCCTCACTAACAATTACACACCCATACTGGCAAACGGATCAGCCCAGGATGTCCAGGTAAACAGGCGATGCCTTGGCCAGGCTCTGGAGCAGATTGTGGATTTCTTTGATGTTGAGTCTCATGTAGGGCTCCCTCTGCCAGCAGCCCAGCATTAGGTCATACACCTCTTTGGGGCAAGTACGAGGTCTCTGCAACACCCGTCCCTGTGTGATACACTCGATCACCTGCAGGAGGCAGCACAAACACGGTCCAGAATGACAACTGAATGCAGGCTCCTCTAAGGGTGCATCTGTCTGCCTAGAAACAGTAGTTTTTACAAGGTAAAAGTAATCGATGTGTGTGAATGATCAAACTTCCCTCCCTACTTGTGAATATATAAGATGCAGGTCATGTATGATTAGGTACGTAACATCTGATGATGTCTTACCTCGTTGTTTGAGAGCTGGTACCAGGGTTGCTTGCCGTAGGTAAAGATTTCCCAGAGTACCACACCCAGACTCCAAACGTCACTCTCTGTGGTGAATCTCCTGTACATGATGCTCTCTGGGGGCATCCAGCGGATGGGCAGCATGGTGTGACCACCCACCTGATAGAAGACATACAGATTCACAGTGGGTTCAGTGAGTGATAGAAGCACATGCACTTGTTATATCCATCTCCTACCACTTCAATAATAGTGTCTCTTTAATAAGCAAAGTAAACTATATACATTTAAGGGATGCACAATACATCAGTACTATATTAGTTATCTGCCAATAAAGGAGATGTTTTATTTGTATGAATTGGTTGACATTTGATATTTAATTGTGCATGCTAACTTTGCTTATTTTGACATTTAGATTACCTTTTTCATCATCTAACAATTAATATTTAAAAACACTAGTCATTTTACGACACTGTTAAAAAATTTGGTACAGTACTGTATTGCAGTGTTCTGTCATCGGTATCAATAGATAATAGACGTTTATTTTTTAAAACAATATTATTTGCATACGAAAGGACTATTGACTAAATATATATATTTTTTTTTTTAAGAAATTAATCAATTTATTCAAGGATGCTTTAAATTGGTAAAAAAAAAAAAAAAACAGTAAAGACATTAATAATTTTACTAATGATTTCAATAATTTTCTATTCATCAAAGAATCCTGAACAAAAAAATTAAGCAGAACAACTGTTTTCAACATTGATGATAATAAGAAATGTGTCTTGAGCACCAAATCAGCATAATGATGCTGAAAAATCAGCTTTGTTCACAGCAATACATTACATTTTAAAATGATTAAAATAGAAAATAGTTCTTTTAAATTGTAATAATATTCCACAATATTACTGTTTTTACTGTATTTTGATACAATTTTGAGAGCATAATAACTTTAAAAGAAATTGGGTAACACTTTCTATGAAGCCCATGCTTATAATGAATTATAGCACCATTTATACTTGTTTATAAGTAAGTAATACTATTCTATAAATATATTCATAAAGACTCTTTTCTTTATTTTATTACAGAAATTATTGTTCATTAGTTACATTTACAAGTAAACAACGTAAAATGTATAATGAGCACATCTTCATGATTTCTTAACATTTGCTTTAGGAAAATTGCATCCTATGTTTTCACTTTACTTAAAGACATCAATGATGCATTTATAGAGGTTAGTAACTGTATTATCACTCACAATAAGTATTTATATGAACACAACACGGCTATTTATATCAATATATTCACTTATTTGACAGAAATAAATCTGAATTACTAAAAAGTGATTTTAACTATAATATAATAACATTAGCAATGCATGCTGTATCTTTATAAATATATTCCTGGAACCATACGACTGCCTAATTAATACTTAAAAACCTGTGTATAATGGATAATGAGCATGCACATTGAAAAGGCAAATGCATAACTTATAAGTAGTTCAAAAAATTATATAAATACAAAAATATAACTATAACTGTTCTTATAATGCAGCATAGGTCTTTATAAATGTATTTATAAAATAATAATACTTACTTATAAATAAGTATAAATGGAGCTATAATTCATTATAAGCATGGTCTATAGAAAGTGTTACCTTTATGGTACCAACCCCAAACTTTTGAACAGTCATGTTATTTCAATAACTGGGTAATAACTAAGTAATACCATTGAACCTAAACCTAAGTTCCCTTACATTACAACCAGAATAGTTTTAAATCAAGTTGTGTGCTATATACCAAGTCTTCTGAAGCTATAGAATAGCTTTGCGGAGAACAGACAGGATTCATTGTTAAGCTTCCCCTCTATTCCAGCTCTCAAGTACCAGATGTCATTGGTTCTTGTGTATCATGACTAATCACAATGTGGCAGAAGTGTAAATGAGATTGGAGAGCTAACACAGAAGGGAAATATTTTCAAAAATTTTGGGTCTCTTTCACAAAGCTGTGGCTTCAAAAAAGCATGAGAATGAGTAAGTGATGATAAATGTCATATTTAAGTGAACAATTCATTAGATAGCACAATGAACTTTCCACTCATTCAAGACCAGAAGAATAGGAATTGTGGCATTGAAAATCGTGCTTGCATAAACGGGAGACACTTCATCCACCCTCAGATTGAGCATATGGGGCATTAACAGCAAACAGGAGAGAATTAGCTTGATATGAAACATGCAGTTTGTGGCTAATGTCTAATATAAGTCCACCAGGTGCCTGCTGACTACAGTGCTTTGCCACAATGTCTAGTTTATCGCAAAACCTAAAACAATTTGACCTCATTTTCTTGACATTGCATTGCAGGATTCCTGGAAATCATGCAATGACAAAATCCTGTTTTTTCCTCTTGTTATACAGCAGAGGAAGCTGATATTCCTTCATCACACACACACACACACACACACACGGCTGCTGACACAGCAGAGTGTTTCCGGCTGTGTTGGCAGCATGGAGGTTTGGGAGAGCCCTTCAGTGTCAGATGGTCTGGGCTTTTTCTGGAAGAACTCACTGTGGGGAACTGTTGGTTTTTGAGGCACTTTCATATTTACAGTATTTAATCAGCTGTTCAGATGCATGCATTTAAATAATTATTAGTCATAATAAATCATACAAACAAAAGTGTTCATGAGGAAAATGATCAGTCAAAAATAAGTCATATTATCCATTATGGACATATACAAACTGCCCTTTGATTTTGTGTTCAACAAATTAGAACAGATTTTTTAAAAAGTGTTTTGCCTTTAACTGACAAATAAGAAATGTCAGGAAACAAAAGGGAGAGGTGTGATTGGTAAATAATAACCCAAACTAGAACTTTAATGGCTCGTTTCCACTGAGCGGTACGGTACGGTACGCAATTATTTACGTTTCCACTGTCAAAAGTTGTGAACCGTACCGTACCACTTTTTGGGTACCCTTCCGTTGGGGTACCTAGCACAGTGGTACGGTACTAAAAGGTGGAGCTAGACTCACTGCAGAACGTTGATTGGTTGACAGAGTATCGTCACTTGCGCGTGCTACAAGGGCATTAGAAGCGCCATTCTTTAATATACAGTTGAAATACTGCTGTTCCATTAGCAGAATTACTGGACTCGCGTCCTCGGGAGTCATTCTCCTGAGTCGGACTTAGCGTAGGCTACTTGGTATTGAGAACAAGCAAGAACAAGATCTGCAGTATGTCATCCATTGTTGTTTATATGTCGCTTTCTTCTTCGCGCGAAAATGACGTCGATCGCTTCTTTCCGGCAAACACCACGCCTATCAAGTAAGGGTACTGTTGGCGGTGGAAACGCTAGCCGGATCATGGTTTACCGACCCGAACCGTACTGTACTGTACCGTTCCGTACCGTACCGCTCAGTGGAAACGAGCCATAAAAGTCCTCTAGCAATTCTTGTTGCATCACATGTTGGCTGCAATAGGCTGGTTCTAATTCGTTTTGAAATTATTGGTTCTGAACACTGTAATATGTCATTTGTTGTGCTATTAGTGGCAACAAACACAATTGCAAAATGCTTACTTGGGCGTCATCATGGCAACATTGGCTCAATCAAAAGTTTTCTTCAAAAACAGTCTTTCTTTTTGCAATTCTATTTGGTGTCACAAATAAAAAAAATGCAGCTTTGAGCCTAACAACACAAACAACTACCTTTTTTTTGCTGTAACATAACCAAAGCAACATATTTTGAAATATATTTTAAGTAACTGAGAGAGAGAGAATAGTTAATTCACATTAATAGTTAATTCATATTGATTAACAAACCCTATGGAAGTAAATTAGTGACATGTCTTTAAAACAAAAAAGCATGTTGAATTACACAAATAAATAAAAAAATGCATTGCATTAACAGTGCTTGTATTTTAATGTATTGTATTTTCAGGGCTTGCATTTTGGGGGCTGAAATTCACCATGGCTCTATATTTAAGCTGTGAATATACCCTCCAGATTTCATTTCCAAAATATGTTATATTTAAAATACCACCTATAATAGTACAGGAAATTTTCAGTCCATTTTATTTCCATTCCATTTTGCTTTACAAATTTGCTTCCACAAATTCAGTGGTTCAAATTCAGTAGAATATTCAACATTGATATAATCAATTTTGGGAGATGTATAGTGTACAAAATATAATAATTTAAGAATCAACCGGTGAAAAATTCATATGGGTCAATGACTAAAATCTGTCCCTCCAATCTATATGGTGGATAATTTTGTTAACGCTGTTGTTCATGTTTGTTAAAAGGAAGTTATTATCTAAAATTCTCTTTTTATATAATTATTTTATTTCTGTATGATCATATATAATGTAGTCATGCATTCAGATTTAAATGAAATAAGAAATTTCGAGTAGATTTTGGGTTCCTCAGACTAAAAGGACCATATATGGACCTTTTATATGGAGCAATATGGACCTTTCCAAGGGGACCCAAACTTACCCTATAGTAGTCGGTGCTGTACACATCTCTGGACATGCCAAAGTCTCCTATCTTGACAAGCAGGTTCTCTCCCACCAAGCAGTTACGTGTGGCCAGGTCTCTGTGCACAAAATGCTGTGAAGCCAGATACACCATGCCTGCTGCTATCTGCTGAGCAATGTGCAACATCTGAGGCTGAGTCAACTCCACCATCAAACTCTGCTGTCCGTCCGCCATCAGCACCGCATCTGGACCATGAGCCCTGAGAGAGAGAGGATGAAAATATGTGTATGATCGAGTGTATATAATCATGTGTATGACTGAAAAAAGCGGACGTCACACGTTTGTATGAAAAGTCTTGTAAAGCCATATTCAGTTTTTCAACTTACTTAGACTTAAACTTTACAGATCAACTGAACAATTTCTTTATTGAAATAATCCATTTTCTTTAGGATTATTAGCTTCACATTTACTTCCCCAAAAACTTCCATTGTATATGCATTGCTTTACACAAATGCTGGCAAAAGGAGTCGGAATGAGCAAATTTTCAAAAATGAAGCGCGAGAAGCGAGCAGAGAAAAACTGCACTTTTCATGGATAAAGGAAATGTACTCCTCTCAGAAAAAAACACAAATAAAGATACTTTTATAAGTTTAATTGCTATTTGGAGGCAGCATTGGGATCGCTACACAGGGCTTAATGAACTCATTTTGGTGAAATCCTCAAAATCAACCAAAATTGAGATTTTTCACTTGTTTTGCCTGTAGCTCAGAATTAGCCTGTGCGCATTCAGACTCCTTTTGCTAGCAAGGGTCACAAATATTTGCTTTCCAAACCTGTATGACTTTCTTTTTCTGTAGAACACATGAGAAGATATTTTGGTAACACTTTATTTCAATGGTCCACTTTAGACATTCTACTAACTATAAGCAACTTTGCAAATACATGTCAAATAACTCTCATTCGAGTTTTAGTAAGCTGTCTGCTTAATATCTGCTAACACTTTATTTTGAGTTATTATTAGTCCCTCAACAGTGTCAACTTATTTTAGTTACCCTAACACCTAACCTAACAGTCTACTGCAGTCTACTAAAACTCTAATGAGAGTTAGTTGACATGATGTTGTTACTTATAGCTAGTAGAATGTCTAAAGTGGAGCAAGGTAGGTTTGGACCTCTCTAACTTTCACTCTAAGGACAAAAGTAAAAATTCATACAACATGAGAGTAAATGATGAAACAAAACATTTGTCGGTGAACTATCCTTTAAACTTGTATGTAACCTAGAACTTGTCTAAAACATCAATGTTGATAAAAACTGTAAGTGTGGGTGTTATAAACGCTCTCATGCAAACCTGAGAAACTTGTTGAGGTCTCCATGTTTCATGTATTCAAACACCATGATGAGGGGGTCACTTTCTACACACACGCCATAAAACTTGACAATGTGGTCATGCTGCAAGTTGGTCAGGAGCTCCGCCTCTCGGTGGAAATCTGCTCGCCCACTTTCGCTGGCCTCTTTCAGAGTCTGTGAGACAAGAAAGCCATGTATTTTCTCTTACTTGTATTATCTCTTATACTTGAATTTATCTCTTAATTTATTTAACTTTTTAGTAATTTATCTATTACTTGCGTAATTTCAATGAATGTTTTGTTGTGTAAATATACCATACCTTAACAGCCACCAAAATCTTCTCTTGGTCAGGAGACAAGTTATAGCATTCAGCCAAGAACACTTTTCCAAAAGCCCCTTCTCCAAGCTCCCTCTTTAACAGAATGTTGTGACGCTTTATGTGTTGGACAACTGCAAAACAAATAACACTTGTAGTTAAAACTAGAATTTTACTATTTGAGTGATGGTTGTTCATATAAAAACTAGGGCATTGTGGGCAGCTGTCAGGGCTCTGTCAGTAAAATTACTCCCCCTCATGTTGTTCCAAACCCATAAGACTTTCGTTCATCTTCGTAAAACAAATGAAGATCTTTTTAATGAAATCTGAGCGATTTGTGTCCCTCCATTGACAGCTACGTAACTACCACTTCGTAAAACTAATCCATATGAATTGAGAGGTTTAGTCCAAATTTTATGAAGAGACTCGATCGGTTTATATGATGAACAGATCTAATTTAGGCTTTTATTCACATATAAACATTGATCAGCAAACATAAACAGAAGCACAACCGAACCTGCTTGACGCATGAAAACAAACCTCATTGGTTCTTGTGGAAGCTCAAACGTGCTGCGTAACACAAGAATGAACCTCATTGGTTCTTCATATGGATTCATTTTATGATCTCTTTATGAACTTTTTGAAGCGTCAAAGTGGTAGTTGCATAGCTGTCAATGGAGGGACAGAAATTGCTCAGATTTCATCAAAGAGATCTTCATTTGTGTTCCTGAAGATGAACGAAAGTCTTACAGGGTTGTAATGACATGAGGATGAGTAATTAATGATTAATGATCATTTTTGGGTGAACTATCCCTTTTAATGTTGTTGTTCAGTCATTCATTTATGCAAAAAACTGAAGTTTACTACTTTACAACTGACATAATTCAGAGAGAAAATGTAGGGCGAGACTTGAGTTTATCCATCAGGTGTTGGTTGGATTGTAAAAAGTGAGCTTGTGTACTGGAATGTGATTGGCTAAATTATTTTTGCCAATCACAATTATATTATTATAGTAGTTTTTTTATTGTTTTTTTTTATTAAATATAATTATTATACAGTATAATATGTTAATATTTCTATATTTTTTTCTTTATTTTTTCGTATATTTTCTTTATTGGGTTTTTAACAGTTTTTATTTTTTGTTTTAATTTTAGATAGGTTTAGAAATTTTGTTGTGTGTTTTTGTCTTTTTTTATTAGTTTTTTTCTATTTATTTTTTTCGGTTAATGTTTATTTTGTTTCAGGTAATGACATTTTTATGGTTTTAGTTCATGTATTACTTTTATTTAAAGATAACCTTGGCGGAGCCTTGCATACATCAGCAGAGAGATGTGACTCATATCACAGGAAGAGTAATTTATGGCATTAAAGATAGATAATGTTAGAGGTCAAAAAAGTATATGTACAAATTATTCATTATTAATGAATTAACCATTCATAATAAGACCAGTAATATGCAATAATAAAATAAATAGGGTAAATTTTGATTTCATGCTGACATAACCCTACATATGAGCTGCACGGTGGGATGCTTGCCTTAGCAAACACCACTAATGACTGATCACGTTGGTAAGATACAACGTTCCTAAAATCCTAAAATTTGAATGAAGAATGCTTGCTAAAATGTACAGTCTAACAGTGATTAAGTTACACAGCGTCAGCCATCCCTGATATCATCGCCATGGTGATAGAAGGGGAGGTTACTATGACAACTGACCAGTGGTAACCTAGGCTGGAATCTATTGCAGAGGATGGAGTGGGGCCGCTGACGGCCCAACACGCCACGGGAACTCACGAGTGTCCGATTTCAGCATACTGCCAGGGTTGCGGAAGTACTGGGGGTTCTCGATGACTGGAATCTTTGTCATTCCGATAATAACAGCATCTGGGCCCATCTCCGAGGATGATGGGGTGTTGTTGCCATTGGAAACATGGTGGAGCGGGCTGGCAGAGTCGTCGTCATTACTGATGACAGATGAGGAGCCTGGTGGAGAGGGCAAAAAAAAAAAAAAAAAAACAGACAATAATCCATAGAAATGAACAGCCTTTGCTGGATCAATACACATGAATAACCATACCATACAAATGTGTTGAAAAAAGTGCATTATTATAAGAGGAAACAATAACAATTATTTTGAATAAATATTAAAATCTATATTATTCTATGTTATTATTCTATATTTGTGGTCTGTATGTTACTGCAATAGATAAGGTTATCTGCCAGCCATTAATAAAGTATTTTTACTTTACATAATGTGACGAAATTTCCGAGTTAAACAAGATGTAGACCAGGACTTTTTATTTTCCAATGAGAACTGAAAAGTGGGCGTTCCATAATAGAATAGAGACAGACCTGAAAGTTAATACGGGTACGTTTACATGACAATGACGTACTAAAAACAGAAACGTTTTTCCTTTGCGTTCTTTTGTCTCTGTTCACACGGATCGGCGGAAATGACTAACAGCGCTCTGTTATGCTGGCAGGCCAGTAGTTGGCGATGTCACTTTGTAAAGAAAAACTACACGCCTAGACTGAACACGTAATATGCATGCGCATGACTTCACTGTTTTCACAGTGAGAGGATATCGGTATCGTTTTCAAAAGTTTGTTTTCAGGCCCCCAAAACACAGTTGTCTTGTAAATGAATGGCCAAAATGCATAAAAAGTTTTCCATTTCTAGTTGAAAATGGTATTGTGTAAACGGCCCCAAAAATGTTAAATGGTAAAACAATGCCTACATTTATTTGGAATAACATACATGGGAGCATCGCACACCATATGTATTAAGAAGGTAAATAGGGTCCATTTTGATTTCATGTTGACAGAAGTGAAAAGATTTAAATGATGAACTTACCTTTCATACCAAACTTGGAGCTTCTACCATATTTGAGGAAAACTAACATAATGATGCATCCAGTTAAAGCAACCACAGCTATCCCAACCACTATGTAAACCTAGAATATAAAAACATACAGTAGATTTTACTTAGTGACTCCAATCTGGGGTCAGTTTGAATTGATTTAGCACAGTAAACCTAACGAATTTATAGAAGTAGCATTGTATCAAAGAAAGACACTTATATTGAAATCACTGGCTACAATATTGTTGCAAACGTAAATTGTCCAATAATATATCAAACAATTAATGGAATATTCCTGGTGAATATATGTTAATCTCTGTCAACAGTATCTGAGGCTTGCTGTCGATTACCACCGAAAATAATGTGACTTCACTCTCAGTTTGTAAAAGCAAACAAAAAAGAATGCGTTCTTACAAATGAAGTCTTTGGGGGGAAATTCAATCACCTACAAAAGTAATACCACCTCAAAAAAGATTTAGACAACTTTACAGATCACTTGAACATTATTTACTGAGGCTCTTAAACAAAACTAAAAGAGTCATTTTTCTGCTTTCAAACTCTCTGGGAAGCTGACCCCACTGACTTTTAGTTTAAGTATAAACTGAAAGAACAATTCGGTTACACTTTATTTTAAGGTGTCTTTGTTACACTTTAATTAACTACATTTACTTACTATAGGGTTAGGTTTGGTTTAGGGTTAGTTGCATGATATTATGCATAATTTATAGATATTACTATAGTAACTACATGTAATATACAAATACACTTGTAAAATAAAGTGTTACCCAATTTTCTATAGTAATTGACAGCAGGCCACAGATGTTGTCGATAGAACTCAAGACGTATTTAACCTGGAATATTCATGTAATCGCTCTATACAAAAACATACCGCAACTTTGTCCTCCAGTGGTGGGGTTTCTTAAAAACAGACAAAACAATTTAGATTGCAGTTCAAAATCTGAAGGTTTGAACAAATACATATAAATGGTGAGCAATAAGGGAAAAAACAAGTCTTACCTGGACTAAATGTTGTGTCTGTGTTACATCATTTAAATGGAAAGAAAAATCAAAATGAATTAGTCAGTGATAAATATAATTCTATAAACTGTATTTTATCAATATTTTTATTTTTTCAGCAGCTGGGTAAATCTAATGAAAACTGATAAGAAATGTCTACGAAATATTTCACCCCATTATCATATGAAACTATATTTTGCATAAAGAAAATGCAGTCTAAACTAAAGTCTCGAAAAAACAGTCTTACCTGGACTAAATGTTGTGTCTGTGTTACATCATTTAAATGAAAAAAAAAAAAAATCAAAATGAATTATTCAGTGATAAATATCATTCTATAAACTGTATTTTAGCAATGTTTTTATTTTTTTTCAGCAGCTGGGTAAATCTAATGAAAACTGATAAGAAATGTCTACGAAATATTTCACCCCATTATCATATGAAACTATATTTTGCATAAAGAAAATGCAGTCAATTTTTGATTTTTTTGCATTGTGGCATTATTTTCATGGCAATTAAGCACAAACTCCAAATGCCAGTAGTAGTCTATTGTAATGCGAATGAATGTAATTATAAAATTTGTATTACTTAAAATTGATGATAAATTATTTATAAAGGTGTGTTGTAAAATAAAATGTCAAGTATAGTATTTGTTGCACTGAACTTAACTTATAATAATAATTTAAAATAAATAATTGCATGCGAACAGGATGATTTTCATGACTTCATGACTAAATCTGTCACCGCGCCACCTGCGATGACTACACCCTGGAGGGCTTCAGGTGCGGGCTGGACGGGCTTCCTGATGCCCCAGGGGAATACCTGCTGGACATTAGCTGAGTACATCAACTTAGCGCTCTGGGTGGATGTATCCTCTTTCACTGTGGGCGAAGCTGAAAGAAATACCATTACCATCGTCCAGCCCCACCTTGCTCCCGTTACCACGCCAGGTCCAGAGCCCAGCCAACCACCCCCCATGCCATGCACAAACATTAAGCCAGAGCCCACCGCAGACGGGAGCTCAAATCTGCTGCGATGGACGAGCCAGACAAGAGGACTAAGCCGACCATCGCCTTGGAGCCTGAGGCCCACAGTGAGTCTGACCAGGTGTGTGAGCCGGCAAAAATCCTGTCCCACCGTGGGGGTGGTAGTGGAGGTTGAGGGAATGGAGCGCTCCCACGCTCCCACCACTGAGAGTGAGCTGTTACTGACCTTCATCATCGCCGCTGGTCCTGCCCAGCTCTAAGTCTTCTATGTCTTCATTGCCGTTAGTTCCGCCCTGCGTAAAGCCTGTTTCGTCACCCAGTACAAAGTCTGTGTCATCGTCGTTGATCCCACCCAGCCTCCCTCTCCCGCCTCCGCATCAGCCCCGTCTCTGCTGGTTTCCTTCAGCACCTCAATTTCTCCTCTAACGGCAATCAGTTGTGTTGATCTACATCGGGTCTTTCAGTCTCCAGCATCGCCCAGGCAAGTGGATCCCCCGGCTCCGCCTCTAGCTCCTGATCCCCTCACCCCACCTCGGTCCGTCGACCTGTCGGCTCCACCTTGGATCTTCCCTCCCTCAGCTTCACCAGATACCATCATCCTTACGGCTCCAACAGGCTCCCTCGTCCATCTGGCTCTGCCTAGGTCAGACTTCACCCTGCCTGAGCCAAGAACTTAGACGTCTGGCCATCTGGCTCCGCCTTCCCTCTGGCTCCACATCGGTCCTCAGTCCCACCGGCTTCGCCTCAGTCATCAGGCACCCTGGCTCCCTCTCGGACGTTCATTGCTGCGGTTCAGCCTAGGCCTCCAGGACCATCCGTCTGCGCCCAGGGCACCACTACCATCGGCATCATCTCCGTCAGTCACGCCACAGGTGTTGTCAGCCAAGTCTCCACCATGGCTCCTCCCTCCGTCGACTCCACCGTGCGCTTTCATCCTGGCTGTGCTCTGGATTCTCGCCTACTCCTCCATTCCTGGCCTGCCTGGCTCCTCCCCCCCATCATTACCACCTTGGTACTTGGTAACCATGGTACTTTGTCTGCCTTCTTCCTCCTTGGATTACAGTAATGAAGCACAGTTATGAAGAATTTAGTGGGGAAATGTGCTTACTTCTCATCAAAAACACTGTCACTATGCTAAAAATCTTAAAGGTCTTATACAGATTTCTTCATGCAAAATATAATTCATTTATTTATTTTGATTTTAGGGTGAAAGATTTTTGTTGGGGAGTGATTTCCTTTAAAAAGATTCATCCAGCTTACTTGTATTTAAAATTGTGCTTGCTATAATTCACCAAAATTATCTTACCGTAATAGAACGCTCCCTCTGTGGAAACAAAAAGATGACTGCAGTTTGCTTGTACACTATAATAAGCTGTATTATTTTATAACATAACAATAAATCACATTATACTGCCATACCTGTCCCTGAGTGGTCCACATCAGGTGTGTGCATGAAGTGTGCTGTCACATTTCCGCTGTCCTCTCCGAACTCGTTGCTGGCCACCAGCGTGTAAATGCCGTTATGAATGTGAGTGGGAATGACAAGCTGCAGACAGCCGTGGTACTCCGTATCTGTGATTTCATGGATTTCGGTCCTAATGTACTGCTGCTCCTCGAGTAGCTTTCCCTCGTGGTACCAGTGCAGATCAGGCTTTGGGTTGCCCGTCACAGTGAAAGGGATGCACCAGTCCTGGTTCCTCACAGGCTGGTATAGCTGCACTATAGTAGGGGGAACTGACCCAGAAGAAAGAAGAAGGAGCAGAGGAACAAGAAAGAAGGAGAGAGGGGAGGAGAGGAAGTGTAATCACAGGATGTCCCACAGGAGTAAACAAGAGGAACGTGGAAACATTTGCTGTAGTTTGACGACAGGAAAGTGTCTGACAGCACATGGAATGGAGGGGCAGTAAAGAAGGATTCTAGGGTGAGAAATACAAGAGAATGATAAGAAATGAAGAGGCTTACTGTAATATTACAAAACAACATGAAGAAACATGCAATGCATAACCAAAAGCAAAATGGATAAAAGGATGTCGTCAAAGACTAAAAAAGCTGGTGGTTAACTGGTTTGTCACTGATAGGTTAAGAGAAAATTAGATGTTATGTTAGCAGCAGAATCTTCCAGCAGAATTTCCAAGCTGCTCATCAAGATACAATGAGCCATGTTTGATGTCAATTAAGTGAAAAGTCATTTTTTTCTTGCATTGGTTCTGGGCGTTTGCAATGTGCCATGTTTGAGTCACAAGCATGAATTGTGGCTTCAGGACATTTGAAATATGTTTTAAAGCTTCTCAGCCCCAGTTTACTGTACAAATATATAATTTATTTTTGTGATGACAAAACTGAATTTCCAGCAGCTATTATTCCAGTCTTCAGAGTCACATGATCCTTCATACATCTTTCTAAAATTCTGATTTGGTGTTCAAATCATGATAAAAATGATTTCAGGATTATTTGATTATTTCAGGAAAGTTCTAAAGAACAGCATTTATTACTTTTTTTTTCTCTAAAATCTTACTGGCACTTTTTTAAATGCACACCTTGCTGAATAAAATTTATTTCTACTGACACCAATCTTTTGAATGGTAGTGTATTTTGTTTTATGGAAAAGAACAGCTTGGACCTTGTGCTAAACATCTGCTTTTGTGTTCCAGGAATTGGAAGCGTTTGGAATTATATGAAGGTGAGTAAATAATCTTCATTGAATCTTTTCCTTTATGTTTCAACTATTCCTTTAACTATGAAAGTAGCAACAATAACCACATAAAATGAAATGGGTAAATTCTACCAGAAGGCTTAAAGCTAACTTTTGAGTGGGAAAGTGTTGAAAAGTTTTTCAAGCAGTATTATGCAACAATGTGAGTTTTGTCAGGCCCAGTAGACTAATGTGATAGCTTGAGGGGAAACTTCCTGAATCTTAAGCATTTGGCACATTTTCAAATGTATCTTGAGCTCTTAAAAACCGCCCAATAGTTTTATTCTCTTAAAGAAAGCCATCTAATCTCCACAAACATGCATGTCAAATGACCCAGAACCTCAAATTCAGTTTGAAATCCTATTATTTTGTCAAAATGTCAAAATATAAATGGAAGACATCAAACATACAAATCATAGAAAAATATTAATTACTTACAATGTTTGACATTAATTATTTTTCATACTTAACTTGAGATCTGCACCAAGATCCAATAGTGATGTCCAATTCATGACATCACCTCCCAATGAATCGGTTGAACTGGTTCACAGTTTGCAATGAATGATTAATTTATGTAATTGTCTGATCCAATTGCATAAGTTAATAACTCTCTGATTCAGTGATCCAATTGGAGCGAGTCTAACGAGTTAACAAATCACTGAACTAGTCTTGTACAACAAAAAATAAGCCAAGAACTGGGAGTAATATGATCCTCAGAGCAGTGTACTGACTCCGAATGATTCATAATAATGTCGGACTGAACTCTAACCTGTTTTAGCTGTATTCTATCTGAGTGTCTAGGAGGACATTAAACCCCTCTCTCTTTAAATTGGTATTTTGAGCATGAGGAAGGAGCATATTAAAATGAAAAAAAAAAAAAAATGAAAAAAAAGTAGTAATAGCGGTAGTAGTAGTCCTTTAAAATTTAAAAGGAGTGTTTATGGTTTTATATAAATTTGGAATAATATTTATACTTTTATATAATTATGGAGTAAAATTTCATCAAAGTTTCTTTAATTCAAGTACAGAATTTGTGTGCTTGGTCTATACCACTTGTCACCACTATTTGAGCTCTAGGCCTTCTGTCAGAGGGGAATTGGAATGAAACTTAACTTGGGGCTCACTCAAATTAACAAAACAATGCAAAGCAAATCCACTTATGAGACTGAGTTCTTACAAAGAATATTGAGAAGGACTGAAGCATCATTCTGGCCGACAATGTTCTCGGCACTACAGGTGAGCTCTCTGCCGTTGTCATCAGGTGAAAGTCCACTTAGAGTCAGCACAGACTGAAGCTCCATTTTGCTGATCTGTGAGAAAGAAACCGCATCAACTCGAATATGTTTATACATCAGTCTAATATTGGCTGTTGTTATGCTTCATAGAATTAGATAGACTCCATTTGAAACTTACACTTTCAAATTTACCAAAGAAAATGTGAACTTGGCCATGTAAAACTCGGTACCATGATGCTAGGGTGTTATGAGTGAGTGCCAGGGTGTTGTTATGTGGTTTCCAGGGGATTCAGGGTCATTTATAAGTGGTTTCTTACTGACCAAAGTCAAGCAAGACCACCCAAACAACTTTCTGAAATTCTGGTACACTGAGAAAAATCCGACCAATTTTGGACCAACCAGAAATATTCTTTCATTTGTTACAGCCAAATTTACAACCCCATTTCCAGAAAAGTTAGGACATTTAACTGACAAAAAAGACAAGATTTCCAATGTTTTTACTGACCGACTTAAAAACCAATTGATTTTGATTTTGATGGCTGCAACATACTCCAAAAAAGTTAGGGCAGAGGCATGTTTACCATTGTGTCACAACACCTTTACTTTTAATTATACTTTTTAATAGTTTGGGAATTGAGGATACTAAGTGTTGCATTTTTGCAAGTGGAATTTTTGCCCGATACAAGACCGCTGCTCAACAGTCTGTGGTCGTTGTTGTCAGATTCTCGTTTTCATGATAGGCCATACATTTTCAATAAGAAACAGAACTGGACTGCAGACAGGCAATCAAGCACATCCCTTCTACGTCTAAGAAACCACTCTGTTGTAGCACGTGCAGAATGAGGCCTGGCATTGAAAGATGTCATCTTGATGGCAGTATAAGTCTCTGTACAATCCCAATATATGCCTTCACCTCAATGGTACCTTCACACATATGCAAGTCACCCATACCGTTTGCACTGATGAACCCCCATACCACGACAGATGTTTGCTATTGCACCGAATTCTTTGCAACTTGCATTGAGAAATGTGATTTTTGAATTGTTTGAGAATTCTCGCATGAAATTTGGAAAAGCCATGACCAGTCTTTGCTTATAAAGATGTTCATTTTACCCTCAATCCCAATACCCTCACCTATTACCAATTCACATACTTATTGTGGACTGTTTCAAAACAGTTTAGCTTGGGTATTCTATAACCTTTTCACTTTTGTTTAGCCTCTGTCCCAAATTTTTTGGAGTGTGTTGCATCCATCAAAATCAAAATACAATTAGATTGGATACTTTTTTTTATTATTTTCTTTGTACTTTTGTTAGTTAAGTAAAGGTTCAAGAGAATTAACAAATCACAGATTCTTGATTTGATTGCATTTTATAAAATGTCCCAGTTTTCTGGAAATGGGACTGTATTTTTTTTTTTTTTCTCAAATGTTATTTAAAATTGTATTTAATATAAATCAAAAGTATTTGCCCCAAGACAAAAACATTCAAAGAACAAATATAATTTATTATAAAGACCATACTTACACAATTAATATATTTTCATTATAAGCCAAATGTTACTTAATAGGTCAACATAATAATATAACATAATTTCACTATAAACAAAAGCTAAATTAGCACAGCTTATGAAAGTAGAATTTACACTTAAGATCCAACTTAAATGTTTATTGTAATATCGTTTTAAAATATGCATTATATTTTCCGTTATGTACTAACAATTAAATTAAATGAATAAACCTCACAAACATTACTGCAGTCAGTAAAGCTAGCCAGTATTTTTTCTGCACATCTGGTACCAAGTAAAAACACTATTCAAAATGTTTCTTTTAATTGTTTCTGTGGGGAATGTTATTGGCTTCACCTTAAAACCGGTTTAAGCTGGAAACCATGATTTTCTATGTCTTTTCACTGTTTCTCCTCTATGAGTCTATGAGATGTTTTCAGTCATTTTATCACTAGGCAAAAATACAAATCTTTTTGCATACAAAATCATTCATATCTGTAGCACAAACTGTGCTGGGCGAGTTACATGTCATACTCAGGGTTGGGATTAATGATGTGATGCTCGCCATCTTTAACTATACAGTCACACCAAACATCCCAGGTGAACAAAGCACCATTAACTGGAGCTAAATAATCCATGTTCTTATTCTACATCTCAGTGTATTTTATCTGTCATACAGGCTGCCATACCATGGGTGAAGGCTCCTTTAATGTAAGTATAGTGAGCATTTTAAATATTAATGGAAACATAATGCTTTCACGGGCTGGAGTCAAGCATCTGTGGTTTCAGCGATGTGATCAGTCATGATTTTTGAAAGCCCATTATAGGATGCTACAGAGATTAAATGTTTAAACTTCCTTAATGTGTAAAACTGGCGCAAGGAGTAGGTTAAAACAGATGTGAGGATGACAGATCCGTATAGGCCTACGACAAGGGCTACCATAAAACATGATCACTGTACTTCAGTTTAGTGTGTTAAACACTGTATTCTACGGAGCCCCTAGAGGGACATGGTGATAGAAAAAAATACGAGATGGGAGGAAAAATATATTTCAATGCTTTTGTGTTCCTACGAGAAACTTTGCGCTCGTTTGCATTTGCGTGCAAAACTTTTGTGTTCTTTGTGAGTGAACGCACAGTTTCTCTGGGGAATGCAAAACATTTGCGAGAGAACGCAAAGGCATTCACAAATAATTTTTTTTCTCCCACCGCATAATTGGCTAACGCATAGTAAACAGTTTCAACGCCCACTTGCTATTGCACGTGTTTTGAAAACATTATCCATATACAACCATCATTTACAGACAAAGCATTATGAAATCATTTTCTTACAGTTTGTGTTGCAGCTGCTGTCAGATCCAATGCTGCTTCATCTTTCAACAAAAGTTTCTTTGCGAACTCTCCATTACAATGTGCCTCATTTACAAAACAAAATGCTTCATACAAAAAAATAATCCTTCGACGCGAATCAGGACACCATTAAAATTAACCATCCACTTGTTTCCAGTGCTGGGATCCTCCAAATTTATTTCTCATGTCATGACCCCTTTAGCATCATGGCTATAATTACATCCGTCAACAAAAATTGGAATGTGAAGTAAAGCGCGTTGCATTGTGGGAAACAATATTGCACACAGTGTTTTTTGTTTGAATACTCCGCATTTAGTAAGTCGACCGCGTATTGTAAACCTATAGACAATTTGCATGCTGCCTACAATATGCATACTGCAGAAACAGTAAGAGCACTATGTTAGTATGCTATTCCAACTAGCTTTATACTTAAAGGGCAAACAGGGTGTTACCTCATGGCTGGTTGAGAGAGGAGGATGATCACTAGAATTTAAGCTCCAGGATAGCTCAGGGGTCGGGGATCCAGACACACTGCTGCAGATCACAGTAGCATCACTTCCTGCCATTAGACTGACGACAGCAGGGATGACCTCGACACGTGGATACTCTGAAGTAAGGACAGAAATGTCACGTTTTTAAGAACTATGCTTTAATACTTCTTACCACAAACTGTGCAAATTAGATGTGCATTAAGTGTTTGAGTTCCATTACCACATGACGGTAGAGTGAGTCTAGAGAGAGATTTTGCCCCTCCTCCTTCCAGTAGACACTGCAGACCCTCTTTCTCACTATCATCCAACCAGGCTTTGATCCAGATGTTCTCACATGCACATTGCAAAGGGTTCCCAGAGAGCAACCTATAGCAAACCCAAACAGATTCAGGAACCGAAGGCTGCTTTGTATGGTGCACAAACAGCCCACTGTACATAGTTTTGTACGTGTTATTATTGAAAAGAAGATCTTACAAAGTCGACAAGTTTGAATTACGAATTGCCATCCAGGAGAGTGTTGATAAGTTATTGTCTCTCAGATTCCTACAGATAGAAAACAAAAAAAAGACGATTTCTTTGAAAACATCACAGATTTGCTTAATAATTACATTTCAATTAAGTTTTTAAAAAATAGACTCACAGATATTGAAGTTTAGAATTGTTAAAGAAGGCCAACGTAGATACATATGTCAGGTGAGTATTGGTCACTGCTCTGTGGGAGACAGTAAATGCTCACATAAGTCCTGCTCTTCCATAAAGTGTCAATATTTTCTTAAAATATCAAATACTCACAAATTCCTGAGATTCGAGTAGAACTTCATATGGTCCTCGTTAATTGTAAATAGCCTTTTTTGATTTGAGATATAGCTGTGGAAAGCAAACGGAAAATTACTACCCTTACAAACGTGCTGTAGTACATTGATGAATATACCACAATAGTATCATGATTTATTGAAGATGATTCTCATCTTCGTATCATGATATTTAACTATCATGGAAATGGCATGTTAAAAAACATAGTTGTACCATAGTCCTGTGATTTATATACACTATTGTTCAAAAGTTGTTTTTATGTTGTTATGATTTTTAAAGTTGATCAAATAAGTCTCTTATGCTATAGCCAGGGCTGCATTTATTTGATTAAAATTCAGTAAAGATAGTAATATTGTGAAATAGTTTAACAATTTAAAATAACTCTTTTCTATTTGAACAATTTTCCTTGTAAATTAATCCTGTGATGGGAAAGCTGAATTTTCAGCATCCGATTTAAAAAATAATAATAATCAGTGCTGAAAACAGTTGTGCTGCTTATTACTTGAGTGAAAACATAAAAAAAACCTGAATTCTTTGATGAATAGAAAGTTCAATGAAATAAAGTGGCTTTATTGTCAATTTCGATCAATTTCAAGCATCCTTGCTGAATAAAAGTAGGCCTATTAATTTCTTTAAAAAATTCTTACTAAACACTTGGATGCTATTGTACTTACTACTTCAAAGAACTAGGCTACTATGTTATTACCATGGCACCTTATAAAAAACTACTTTTGATTGTATTTTTGTTACTTTTTTATTAGTAAGTTTCAGTATTAGAATATATGAACTATAGGTAACTATATAATTAATAAAGTCAATTGGTTTCATTGAATATTGACCTTACAAAAACGTACAGCCTGGTATTTACATTGCAGTTTATTTTCAAGAAAATAATGATACTTTTTTGCTAGCGTAATACGTTTCAGTAATATTATATGAGAACATAATTTAACAAGGTAGCTATGCGTCTAAAAAATAAATTCAAGCCAACTGTTTTCATTGCACTGGCATGCAAAAACAGTGATTATAAAATTAGAGCAAAAATGAAAATATCAACAGGCAGTTCTCTTTTTTTCAGAGACAGCTAACATAGACGCACGGACCACGGTAATTTGACATCAACCGTCACCATATGAACAAGTTAATAAAGGTGCGCGTGAAAAGGCCATGATTTCACTACAGCGCGCGCACATGCCTGGAGTGGGTCCAGTGAGCCGTTGTCGTGGAAACGGAGTGACATATTTGCGTAGGCGCCGATGCCTATTGCTCTGCGGACACGTTAGACAACTCCCCAACTAGCCTATACACAACAATTAATTGAATAATGTACGAGTAAAACGGAATTTTATTCGGAAATAACAGCAGTTTATAAGCGTTTCCCTCACGGCAGGCCTAAAGGACATTTTTCTCCCAGCACCAAGACATTTGACGGTCTCTCAAGCCAGTCAGTGCTGCCTAATGCATATCAGATCATCACTGATTTAAATCTCTGTGAAGCGGACGCTGTATCTTCACCGATATGCATCTAATAGAGTTAAGTGATGTCGTTATGTGGCCGATTTATAAATTTGAGTGTAAGCCGATTGTGTTTTCTATTTTTTTTTCTGCTATGGTAGAGAAAGTCAGTTGAGGTGAGTCAGCAGCCCCACTACATTATTCTCTGACTGATCATCTTTATATATATAAAAAAACCTTTAGATATGCTATTATGTCAACTTATTGCTTGTATACCGTGTCCCCGACACCTTCCCTTCAACCGCTCTCATCCTCTCTCACACACGACATGATGTCTGTTGCATGTCACCCTATGATCTTGTTTGATGTCAAGAGCTCGTATGCACGCCCTGGATTATCGTAGCAAACTCCACACGTGCTCATAGCGGTGGCTGAAATGGTCAGGCTGTGGATGTCATGGAATAGCACTGCACTAAACTTATTTTGTCCCTCGACGAATTGAGGAATCTACCCACACACCTCACGCGCACACGCTCACAAACACGCGCATGTTTTTTTTTTTTTCCTTCACGCATCCGTGAAGCTGGAGGAGCAGGTCTCCCGGTTTATTTCTCACTAAAACACTGCACTTACATATCCGTAATGTTTTCCATATCAGACTCTGGCACCAAGACAGGGAAATCCTCGATCCCTGGTTCTTGATCGATACACGAGATCCTCGAGGCATTGCAAAAGCACGACACAGGACAAGCCGAGCTGAGCCTCAGCAGCCCGAATAAAACCCCACACAACCCCCAGCGAGCCATTCCATGAACCCCTGTGGTCATAGCAGGTCTAGCGCGATGCATTCACTGTTGTGTAATGTCTTGTAGTATTTTCAGCAATTCCGAGATGAGACGCCGCTGCTGTGGGATGCGCAAAGACGTTGTGCGCGACGCGAGACTGTCATGGAGTGGCCTTTTCTGGTCTCCGCAGAAAGGTGATAACGCAACGGGGATGTTCGCGTGTCAATATGTTGCGCTATCCGGGCTTCGCTTCTTCCAGACGCGGTGGTAAAACGTGTGGCCGCAGGCTGTGTGTGTCTACGGGCTGCGGTGGTGACGCTGACGTCTCACATCCAGCGCTGAGGAAGAAAACAAGCGAGACAGTGTGCGTGTGCGCGCGCGTGTGAAGAGGCAGCAGCGCGTACCTGCAAGCGCCTATTGATTACCGACCGCATCTCCCTCAGCCATCGCTGTAATTACATGTGGAGGGGGACGTTAAAGATGCTCTCAGCGATGTCATATCGGCAATAATTGATCACCTATGTTGTCAAGGGGCTATCTTTGGGAGATGCATATTGACAGGGACGAGGAGATTGGTATAGGCTGTCAAATATGTTTTTTTATATCGAGTCATTTGGGAAATTGCTTGATTGTTTTCATTTGTTCGTCTGTTTAACAGTTCAATATGAGCTTGAGCTGGCTGTGTTGCTTTTCCATCCTCTTTTCAGCAATCCTACCACAACTTCATGAATAGCCATTACCGAAGTGTGACGTGCTGTTTGACGCACAAGATGGGCTGCATCTAGAAAAATAATTACTAAACAAAAATGCCAGGATGGTTTTTTTTTTTTTTTTTTTTACTGATGCGAGTCTCGCATTCCAATCGCAGTGTAGTCTATGGCAAGGAGACGAAATAATATTAATAATAAATTATAAATTATATTACTTTGTTTGGGGTGTTTACCGAATTATCAGTTTATGTGAACTGAAGGGAACGGCGCGAGCGCAATGATGAATTCGGAAAATGCGCGTTTGAATCTCACATTTGACCTCCATGTTCATCTTGTGAGTGAAGTTAAGAGTCCATCTGCACTAGATTCCACGCGTTATATTAACATTTCAGCATGTGTACACTGAGGGCCCTTGGTTTAGGAAATTACTACAGCACAAGCCAAAAGATGAAGTGAAAGGTGACGGACTGTTATATTTTTTTTTACCAGGAGAGGGCGACAAATACATTAGGCAAGGCAACACGTTTTTTTTTTATCACGGTCAATGTGAGCTGCAATCACTATTATTTTCCCCTAAACACAAATGATTACATTCCGGCCATTAAATCCACCCTTTTGGTCGTAAAAAGAGGCATCTGCACAAGATAAGATATATCCTGTATACTTATCGGTCTAAATCCGTTTTACTGGGTTTTGTAGCCTATTATTTTTTGCAATACAGTGTTAACCAAACCAGTCCAATGCGAAAGACATGAGAGGGTGCATCTTGATCGACAGTAAATGTGTGAGTATATAAAACAAATTATAAATATTATATTTATGATATATGATACCAAGCTGTTAAACGCCAAAGACAACGACAGCGCTTCTCAGTTGCTATGACGATAGCCTGCTATGGGGCGGGGCAATACACATCACAAGGCTGACAGACTCGTTACCCAATTAGATTGTTAGCCTTTATATTGACAGTCTTTTTAACCAATACAGCTGCGCGTTTGAATTCTGGCATAGCCAATCACGAAGCTAAGAAATTGCACCTAAACCTACAATGAAATCAAGTTAGAAGGCGCAGAAATTTCGGGCGAAAATTGGTGTGACGGAAGGGCTGCCTGCAGGTTTGTTAAATATTTTGAACCATATTACTACAAAGACACTTCCGTTGGAAACTGTGCTGTTATTTCCCGGAATAATAAATAACAGAAATGTCGAAGGTTAATTAGACCATATATACGTCGCCGTTCTGTAAATTAGCCTGCTAGCTTGCTAAGACGAGCCTTTTCAAAATGGAGAGTTTCCTGCTGTTCAGTCGCAACAGTCAACAGACAATAATTCCCCTCATATTATCAAACCAAAGCAGAGTCTTGCATGCAGAAACAAAGTGTATATAAAAAGAGGAAAGTTAAATGGTCTAACCGTGTTGTCATTTTGCAAGCTATTTTGTGCCCATAGTCGTTTGTGCTAAAATAGGACGTTTGTTTAAAATGTTCAGACAGATGTTAAAGTCCGCAAAATTGACATGTATTTCTCTTGTGAAGTTCAGTAAATGCAGCTGTGTTGTCAATTAATGAAGGCTTGTACTGTTATGGCAACTGTAACTGGAAGGCTAGCAGGCTAAATGCTACTTGCGCACCATTTTGAAGCACTGGGCCTTGACACAGCCCTAAACTAGCAGTAGTCCTTATAACCAGTGTGAATGTTAGTTAGCGTCAGGTCCCAAAATGCACTTTGCGTTTAAATGGTCTTGTATTTGATCAAATGAATTGAATTAGATTGTTTTTCTAATTGCTTTCTTTCTTGCATACCTTGTTTGTATTTTGAATTTGCTTTTAATGTAACCGTATGCTTAACATATTTGTATATTATCAGACAAGAAAAATAACAGAAAAGTACCATGGTATATTACCATTTTTGTAGACATACACCGTGGTAATTCCATGGTATTCTATAAATTACCATGTATAACATTGTGCATGAAGAAAGGTTATATTCAGTACCATAGTAAATACTAATACTGTCCCATGGTACAGACACCGACTTGTTTGACTCCCTAAAATACATATTTTGGAGTGAACAGGATAAAACTGATGGACAGGACTTGTTTTTATTAATCTGGAAATGATTGGATTGTGAAAAGTTGTCTCTGAGTCTGTATCAGTGGTTTTCAACTAGTTTATTGGGAAATAATGGTGTAATATGCAAATAATGACACTAACCACGTTATCATGTGTAGTTAGGATGAAAGATAAACAGGCTTATCTTTTGCTATGCAGGACTCAGGAGAAAACACTTCCTGTATTTTCTGTTGTTGTCAAAGACCATTAGTCCAGACAGTCAAACACTCCAGTATTGTAGCATAAATTCATCGTTATTTTCCTGTTCAGTCTAGATCATGTTAATAGTTTTCATATTGTTGGGCCCATGCAGTTCTTCGTATAATCAATACATTTTAAATCTTGATTTTAAGGACTTTTACTGACATTTTGTACGATTCTGATACGCTGTTGGATCGCCACATAAATCAGAACCACTGACAGGTGGATGGAGGTGTTGAGAAGTAAAGCCTTGTTGACATCAGCTGAAAGTCGTTTTTTATATGGAACAAGCTATTACCAAGGAAAGTGTGTTCATTAGGGATGCGCCGATATGAAAATTTTGGCCATGTCCCAAGCACTTACAAACCTAGACAAACATATACAATACAGTAGCCTAGTTTGAACCAATGTATTCCTTAACTTTTAAAATTAATTTTACACTCCTATGGCCAACTTTCTTTATTACAAAATAAATCTATTGCCATACAATTAAATAAGATATTGTCTAAATAATGCAAACAAGTCATTGGGCAGCATTACTTGCATATAAAGAATCAAAATTCATGTGCCACTGATAAATAAAATGGAATGGCCTCTGCGTGGAGAATAATACAATTATTTTAATTAAATCTCATATTGTTGATCAAAATAATATGAGAAAAAGAAGTGCTTGTTATTATTAATAATGAATTATTAATAATTATTATTATTAAAAAGAAACATATTAGTAATATTAGCTAGGCTACTGTTTCAAATAACAGCACTTAGCTGTGTGCGCTGATGAGCGAACAAACACCGGTAAACTGAAGCGCTTTGTTAGCGGGTTAATTAAATAAACGAAACGCATCCTATATGAGTTTAATCAGATATTTATACAACATGAACATAATATTACAACTTATATCTGCACAAAATAACATGAACTTGAACTAAGTTGTGAACTCCTGTTGTGGATGCACTCTTCCCATAACAACGTGAATGAAATGCGGCAACTAAACACAAAGAATTCACAACGTTTTATTACAGTAGTGTTGTTGTTATAATGTTATGTAATATGACAGCCCCAATCATAGTTATTAATGTCGTGCATTGCTGTTTGCGCTGCATGCGCTGAAGCTAAAGATGATCACCGGTAAGCGTTTTACTACTGCGTTAACCAAACAAACGTATCTATCCGATATGAGAAATTTTATATACACACACACACACACACACACAAAATAGATATAATATTACAATTGCACTTACAAACTTAAATTTCACAAACAAAAGGCTATCAAATACAAAAAACTAAAATTATATGCAAAAGCAAACATGTTATCGATAACATTAAAAATGAACACATCGGCCGATACCGATATGGCATCCCGAGTATTCGTTACATAAAGATATTTTTGATTTCATGTAGACTTAAAAAAGGTATTTTCTGCATTGTTTTTAACACTCAACACACTGTCTCTTAGAGTGACCCGTCGAGGACAGCCTATTCCATTTTGACTGCTGGCTGAAGACAATGGAGACAAAAATTGATCAGCAGGAAGAAGAGACCACTTTCAGTAACATTGACACTAACGGTAATGTATATAGTCTCTGAATAGAGTGCAACAGTGCCCACCCACTTTTTCTGTGGCTTTGGTTTTGGAAGTATTTTTCCTATAGGGATTTATATTTTCATGGCGACAAACACGGGCAACTAAAGCACAAAGAATTCACAACATTTTGTAGTGTGCTCCTTATAATGTTATGTTTGGCAGATTGGCGCTACACGTCTCGCACTTCATTGTATTTTCAACTACTTTATCAAGTGAGTCAAATCGTAATTAACGATTTCAAGCTTTATCAGAATGCCTGCACATTTTCTAAGCCATGACGAGAAAAAATAACACTGCTGGATTATTAATCATCAATGTTTTTGTACTGCCCAAAATGCTGCAATAACCAATCAGTAAAAAAAAAAAAGAAATATATTTTTTAAAGTCACGGTGATCATCGTTTTCATGATCGATTGTTACTGTCGCGTCCAAGTACTTGGGTGCTCTTGCACATCTCTATTAAAGAGTTAAAAGTCATGAACCAACCAACTAAAATCTGACAAAAAGACAAAATGTACAACAAGATTGTGTTCTTAACTTTAATGGAGGAAAGAACTACAATCCCATGAAGCATTTTGAATGACAATCAAATTACAAACGATGGCTTCAACATGCTGTCTGTCAGAGACAGAGACGTACATTATACATACCGTAAAACTTCAAATAGTAGCCCGGGCTTTTATTTTCCCAAATCGTCGAACTGCACCGGCTTGTATTTGAGACAGGCGTCTATATGAGACAGGCCTTTATAATTTAGTGTTGAGATGTTGTTCATTGAGTGTATAGGCCTGTCTCTAATCTCTAAAAATCTCCAAATGCTCCACGTGA